CTGGAGTCATGATATGGATATCAGACAAAATAGACTTAAAGTTAAAAACTGTAAAAAGAGACAAAGAAGGACATTATATATTATTAAAGGAACCAATTCACCAAAGAAATATAACAATTATAAACATCTAGGCACCAAACACCAGGCACTCAAATACGTAAAAGAAAGACTGCTAAATCTAAAGAGAGATAGATTGCAACACACTAATTGCTAGGGACTTCAACACCCCACTGTCACCACTGGACAGGTCATCTAGACTAAAAATAAACAAAGAGACACAGGAACTGAATAATACAATAAATCAACTGGCTCCAACAAACCATTTGTAGAGCATTTCTACCCAACAACTACAAAATACACATTTTTCTCAGCCCCATGTGAAACATTTTTGAAGACTGGCCACCTAATAGGGTATAAAACAATCCTTTAAAAGTATAGAAACTAGATACAGCATCTCTTCTTACTACAGTGGAATTAAAATTGAAATCAACAGCAGAAAGAACCTTCGAAAATACACAAAAACATGGAAACTAAACAATTTATTCCTGAATGACTTCAAAACTACTGAAGAAATTAAGACTGAAATTAAGACTCATTGAAACCGGGTCCAATAGGTGGTGTGGTGGTTAAGGCCCTAGATACTCCCACATGGCCAACCACGGTTTGAATTCCAGACCTGGTGGCTTGCTTTCTTACTTTCCTTCTCTCTCTCTTTCTGTCTCTCTCTGGTCAAATTAAAATAAATGAATGAATAAATAAAATTAAATAAATGTTTCTTTAAAAAAGAGACTCATTGAAATTAATAATAACAAACATGCAATACACCATAATCTTTGGGACACAACAAAAGCAGTCCTAAGACAGTTTATAGCAATTAGTGCCCGCAGGAAAAAACTGAGAGATAGCAAGTAAATACCCTACTGATGCATCTCAGGGAACTGGAAAAGCAACAACAACAACTACTAAAACCCTCAAAAATACTAGAAGAAAAGAAATGAAAATTTGAGGAGACATAAATTGAGAATAAAAGAATGATACCAAAATTCTACAAAACCTATCTGGTTTTATGAGAGGATAAACAAACTTGACAATCAGACTAACGAGCAAACAGACAAATGAACAAAATAAATAAAATCAATAATGAAATGGGCAATATTACAACAGATATCTTAGAATTACAAAAGACTATGAGAAAATACTATGAGCCAGCAAATTAGGAAACCTAGAAGAGATGGACAAATATCTGGACACATACAGCATACCCAGATTGAACCGGAAAGAAACAGAAAGCCTGCCAAATAGGTCAATAACAAGTAAAGAGATTGAACCAGTAATAGTTTCTCAACAAGAAAAAAATGAGATACCAAAGGCTTCACTTCTGAATTCTACAAAACTTTTAAGGGAAAAAAGGAAACTACAAACCAACATCCATGGTGAATACAGGTGCAAAAATTCTCAACAAAATACTAGCAACTTGAATCCTATAGCATATTAAAAAGATTATACACCATAACTAAGTAGGATTTACAGAGATGCAAGGGTGGTTCAACATACACATAACAAATATGCAATACATCACCTTAACAGGAGGAAAGAGAAAAACCATGATCATATCAATGGATGCAGAAAAAGCACTTGATAAGATACAACATTCTTTTAGGATTAAGACTCTCAACAAAATAAGTATGGAAAGTACATTTCTCAACACAATAAAAGCCAACTAAGTCAAAACCATAGCTAACATCATAGCAAATGGGGAAAAGCTGAAAGCTTTCTCACTAAAAATTGGAATAAGACAAGTTTGACCACTTTGACTACTCCTTTTCAACATAGTATTCTAAGTCCTAGTGAACACAATCAGGCAAGAGAATGAAGTAAAAGGTATTCAAATAGGAAAGGAAGAAGTGAAACTATCCCTATTTGCAAATGACATTATTATATACCTAGGAAATCCAAAAGAATCAATGAAGAAAAAAAGCCTCCTAGAAATAATAAATGGATTCAATAAAATGGCAATATACAAAATCCTATAGCATTTTTATATGATGAACAGGTTAAGGCAAAACAGGAAAAAAAAAAGTAATTCCATAAACACACACAAAATGCTTAGGAATAAATATAAGCAAAGAATTGAAAGACCTCTACAAGGTAAACTAAATATGAAACCAAAAAAATGGAAAAAGACCACTGTTCTTGGATTGAAAGGATCAAAATAATTAAAATGTCAATTCTGCCCATGTTAATCTACAAACAATACAATTCTGATCAAATTACCAGTGCCATTCTTCACAGAAACAGAAAAGACAATCATAAAATTTGTCTGTAACTGTAAAAGACCTTGCATCACCAAAACAATACTGTGCAAACAGAATAGAGTAAAAGGCATCTCATTACCTAACCTCAAAATACATTACAAAGCTGTGATATCAAAACAGCATGGCACTGGCACAAAAACAGACACAGTAACCAATAGAGCAGAATAAAAAAAACCAGAAATAAATCCAAAAACATACAACCACCTGATTTTTTTTTTTTTTTTTTACAAAGGGCACAAGACAATCCAATAGAAAAAAATAAAGCCTTTTCAGCAAATGGTGCAGGGAGAACTGCATATCCACTTGCAGAAAAACGAAAACAAATATCTAATTCTTACCATTAACAAAAATTGACTCAAAATAGAGTAAATATCTAAGTGTAAAGTTTCAACTATAAAATGACATGTAAAAACATAGCAGAAACACTTGAAAACATCAGAATAGGTGAAGGTTTCTTAAATAAAACCCCTAATGCACAGGCAAAAATTTTAAAAATAGGCAAATGGGATTACATCAAGCTAAAAAGTAAATGCCCAGCAAAGGAAACACTGAAACAAAGTGACAAGACAACATGCAGAATGGAACAAAATATTAGCAAACTGTGCTTCAGATAAAGGATTGATAACCAGACTATACAGGAAAAGCAAATAGCTCATCAGAAAAAAAAAATCCAATATTTCTTATAATAAGAGAAATGTAAATCAAAACCACAATGAGCCAGGCTGGATATGTGTGCATATGTGCTCAAAAATCCTGAGAGGAAATTGGAGGAGAAAGGATTGCAGCATAGCCATCTCCCCTGGGGGAGGGGGTGGTAACATCACTTTTCCTCTTTCTGTCTCTCTCTCTCTCTGTTATTATTCACAATTGCTAACACTTGGAATCAAATTCAGGGCCCAAAAACTGATGGCTGGATTAAAAAAGTGTGGCATATACATACTATGGAATACTATTCAGCCATAAAGAATGATGAAACTGTCATTTGATTGAAAGCAGGTGAATATGGAAGCTTTAATGCTAAGTGAAATAAGCATGACTATGAAAGACAGTCATTATATATCCTCACTCAATATAATGTCTGTACTCTACAGCAGAAATGGAAAGATTTGAAGATATAATAGAAGGGAGGACACGTGTAGATATCAGAGACTTGATGGGAGGGACTCAGGACAAAAGCATTTAACAGATACAAGAATGTAAGGTTCTTGTTGAAAATGACGTATATGGTAACATTATTCTTAATTTGATTATCATTCACCACATGCATGCTTTGGAAAACCATATTGTACACCGTAAAGATGTACACCAATTAAATATATATAGGAAATTTAAAATAATAGAAAATAAAATGCTATTCTTATATTGTGTTGGTGATAGTTGGTACATTGGTAATTCCTTTTTGGAAAACAGTTTGTCAATACAATATCAAAAACCATAAGAATATTTATAGTTGGGAGCCATCAAGAGGCATGGCTTTTAAGGCATTGGATTCTCATATGGCTGACTGCAGTTCAAGTCTCAGATCTGGTGGCTTGAAAATCATGCTGGCCATGTATGCATGTATACCCAAAATCCTGAGAGGAGAATAAAGGAAAAGGTACTGTGACATGGCCATCCCTCCTGGGGAATGACTTTTCTCTTTCCCTGTCTCTATTTTTCTCTGTCTCCAGTGATTGCATACAAACTGTAGCAAAAACTTAAAAAAAAAATGTTTACAGCTTTTCACCTGGTCATTTGACTTCTGGGAATCTGTGAGCAAAATTAATCCAAAGTATAGGAAAAACTGCTTAAAATAAACCAGAAAATAATAAATGTCTCCCAATAGGAGGATGGTTAATATGTCAGGAAACAGACATTGCATAAGAAAACCTACACAGCCATTTATAATTACGGGGCCATGCAGCTAAACAGAAAGATGCTTTAATAGGAAATGACAAATGGCTCAGCATTTATATGTGAAAAGATATGCAGAGGAGAAGAGATTGCAATAAACACCAAATTTTAAGTGGTTGAAATAAGAGAATGATAGTGACTTTTTAAAAAAATATTTTATTTAACTTTATTTATTTCTTTGTTTTAATTTGATCAGAGAGGGGTGTGTGTGTGTGAGAGAGAGAGAGAGAGCAAGTCACCAGGTCCAGGTTCAAACCATGGCTGGCCATGTCAGAGCCCAGTGCCCTTAACCACCACACCACCTGCTGGCCCCAATAGTGACATTTTTTTTAACCTTTTTTTTTTTTCCCCTTTTGTAATGTGCTTTCAGCACGTTATACCAAGAAAGTTTTCTCTTTCTTGCCCTTAACTTCACACCAGGCACCATGGCCAGCTTTGCAAGCCCTACCCATCTGCATCAATACCATGCAAGTTCCACCTCCTCCAAGAAGCCCTCCCATCCCACAGCCATGTGAAACTCTCTCTCTTTTCCATGATTCTATAATGTATCAACATTTCTATCATAGCACATATAATTTGCATTGCATGGATATATGTACATATGACATATGTACATATGTGTCTGTTTCTACAACTACATTTCTAGATCCTCAGAGAGATGAAACAGTTCCATTTATTACTCTCTCCCCACAGACATAGACACAGGGCTTTTCCTGTATGGTATGCTGGAATAAATATTTGTTGGAATAAGTTTAATCTCACTACAATGAACTGCTTTTGATTCCCTGGCAGGTGGCGCTCATGAAGGTCTGCAGCACTTGGGTCCCTTTGGCAACATCCCCAACATCGTGGCAGAGTTGACTGGAGATAACATTCCTAAGGACTTTAGTGAGGATCAGGGCTACCCAGACCCTCCAAATCCTTGTCCCATTGGAAAAACAGGTAATGGATGGGCTTTTGGATTTCTATGGAAAGTAGAAATTTGGGGAGAAAATTAGACATTCTAACACCAGACATTCTAATTCCCAGGGGGATATGCTTATGTTGAGCTGTGTACAGCTTACTTGGTGGTTGAGAAGAGGCTCTAGACTTAAGACTACCCGAGTTCAAACTCAAGTTCAACCTGTGATCTTGAATAAGTCACTTCATGACTGCACCTCACTTTTCTCATTTGCAAACTAGAAGTCAGTGTGGGAATTAAATGAAATTATCCCCATAAAAGTGCTTAGCACAGCACCTAGCACAGACTAAGTATCCATTAAATGTCATTCTAATTACATAATGAGCTTGCCACTAGTAAATAATGCATCTCTCTCCTTGGGATCATGTTAACTTCTTTTGCCAGGGCAGCCTTCTTCCCCAAGCCTAATAATAGTTGATATTTATTATTTCTAACTTACATTAAGAAACTAAAGCTTAGGAAGCAATTTTCTCAAGGTTACCCTAGAGGCAGGTACTGAGGCAAGACCCAAGCTCAGGTCTAATTCAGGACTATGCTCAACCACTGTGACATATTGCCATGCTTTGAAAACTGTGACAGTTTTGGCCCTTCGGCGTTTCTTAAACACAATACAGGCTCTCTCCAGAAGTTTGGAAGAGGCTTTCTAAAAAAAGATACTCCTTGCAATAGGTGAGGCCTCTGTTTTCTATTGGGGACAGAGCTTCCATCTTGTAATATAACAACCAAAGTGGCAAGAAAAAAAAAAATATATATATATGGCTCCAATTTGTTTAGTCAGCTTTTCCTTACCTATTGAGTTTTGGATAAGTAGGAGGAAAGACCAGCCAAGACTTTGGAGAGCACAGGTCCGATTAAATGGGTTAAGTATAATATAATGCAGTAGTTCTTTTTTTTTTTTTTTGAGAGGTTTTCACTATAGGGCACGTGTGCTCACCAGACAGACAGACAGAGAGAGACAGAGAGACAGAAAGCGAGAAATCACCCCCCAGGGGGGATGGTCACACCGCAATCCCTTCTTCTCCATTCTCCTCTTGGGATCTTGGGCACGCATGCACACGCGCCCGGCATGAGTTTTAAGCCACCGGGTCCAGGACACGAACCGCGGTCGACTATGTGGGAGTCCAGCGACATCGCCATTATGCTAACTGCTGGTCCCATAATGCAGTAGTTCTTAAAATGTGATCCCAGGACTAGCAGCATCAACATTACTTGGAAATTTAGCAGTGCAAATTCGCAGGCCCTACCCCAGATCATAGCCATTCTGACTGGAGCCCAGCAGTCTGTTTGGTAACCAGCCCTTCGTGTGACTTTGTGTGATTCTGGTGCATCCTAACACTTGAAAAATCACTGTTATAGGAGAATGGGAAGAGACCTAGTGTTTGAGCCAAGAGATCTGAGTTCTAGTCTTAACTACACTATGTCACTTTGCTTCCTTGGGCCCAAGTCTCTTCAACTGTAAGAGGCAAACACAATAAATGCCTTAAACAAACAAACAGTATAGTTCTAAGTTATCTCAAAAAAAAAAAAAAAGAAAGAAAGAAAAAGAAAAAAGAAAAATGCAGACCTATGTAATCAAACATTAGTTTTGTGCATTTAGGAGCTCTGAGAAGAAAGAAATCAAGGTGAGCTGAGAGTGTTGGAAAAAAACCCAAACTGACCCTTTCTTGTCAGAGATTATCTGCCATTTTTCTTACTATCTTTCCACTAGGCTAGTATATTTCTCATTCTTCACTCTACCACAATTTGTATTCTAAAAAGGACATTCCATGCTAAATTTAGCCATTATTCATGAGATACTGCTTGAGACCTGCCACACAGAGGATCATGACATAGCACAGCACAGTTGAGCAATCTGAGAATAAAACCTGACTCCACCACCACCACCAACACCACCATGCCACGCTCTTCTCAGTTATGCCCCATCTACCCTGGATAGCAGGTAGTAGCAGAGTTTTGAGAGTCCATCCCCAAGTCTTGGGGATAGGATATAAATTCTAGGACACGTTTTCAGGCCCTGAGATGTCTTCAGTACCCCACTCTGAACCGACTCAGAAGTACTTGAGGAACAATTATAAAATGGGTGTAAAGCTGCCACATACAGATGGTCTGAACCCTCCTGATTTGGTATTCCTTTCCTACATGTTCATTGCTCTAGAGATAGAAGTGAGATAAATAGTTCAAGGGAAAGTGGGAGCCACATTAAGAGTTCAGAACTAGTGACTTCTACACTAGTTTCTTGCTGCTAAGAGCTTGGAGACTGTATGCTTGAAGCTGTGGAAAGAATTCAGCACATTCTCAAGAGCTACATGAGCTAGGTCATTATAAATAAACCTCCTTTTAGCATTGACTTCAATGCTTCATTATCCCTTTGAAAAGGGACTCACTCCCCTCCCTCAGTCCTGCACAAAATTCACAATCTCTAACCTGTCCCCCTTTTCACAGCTGTCATTTAAAGTACATAAGAGATGGGGGCATAAATAACTTATTTTTAGTGCATGATTGGGCTTAGGTAAACGCAGCAACCTTGAGGTATAACCTTCTTTCTTTGGTTTAAATGGAAGACATGCTTTCTTCAAAGAGTGGTCATGGTATAAACTTATTTAAAGGGAGATAGTTGGAAGGGAGCTAAAACGTATCACAAACCCATTATGTACCAGGGACTCAATATATGACGTTCTCTGTTCTTCACAGCAACCCCGTAAGGTCAGTATTTGATTATTTCCATTTCATGGATGAATAAACAGACTTAGAGAAGCTAAGTTCACTTTCCCAAGTTACTATCTATTGCTTATGAGCTGGGAATTGCTCCTTGACTTCTGGTCTGATTCCCACTATAACACACATCCAGGACTATCTGGCCATTGTACTTATTATTATATAATGAACTGTCTCCATGAAGCTGAGGTGATTTCTAAAGAGCTCACCCAAGAGAAAACAGAGTGAGTCATGTGGAATGAAGTACATTAATTAAGGAACTACTTGTTCTTGTAACAGATTTTTAAAAGAATTAATGGCTTAACACAATAGAAGTTTATTTCTCACTCATGTGAAATCTTGCCAGAGTTGAGTGAGGATGTAGTGTGGGAGGATGGCTCAGCAACACAGACTGTCATCTTTATCCTCTACATCCACAGTTGCCCTGGTCCTGGTCAGCAACATGAGAAAGCAGACTTGCCAAAGGGGATGGGAGGATCAGAGAAGGAGTAAGGGATCCTCTGGACCATTTGTATGGGCCAGACCTGGAAGTGGAAGACATCATATCTGCCTACATTCTATCGGCCCAACTCAGGCATATAACTCCACCTGATTGCAGAGCAAGGCTGGTAAATTAATCCAGCTGGGGTGCACAGCCAACAAGTTCCTGCCACAGGAATAGGAGTTTGGGATGAGCAGCCCCATCCAACAGGGAAGCAGAATCCCAGAGGGAAGTGACTTAGAGTGACTGATGTGAATAGATTCTGACCTTTAGATGTCTAGTTGTTTTTCATAAATTAACTCTAGAGTAATGATAAATGCCTTGGCTATTCCTCAAAAACTTTTGGCTGTTTGCAGTAGATGATGGATGTCTAGAAAACACCCCTGACACGGCAGAGTTCAGTAGAGAATTCCAGTTGCACCAGCACCTTTTTGACCCGGAACATGACTATCCAGGCTTGGGCAAATGGGTAAGTGCAATCTCTACTGCTAGTAATTTCTGTACTCTTGTGCAAAGGTATTGATAACAAACCTGAGCAGTATGGGTTATGGAGAGTGAGAGAAGAAAGCTTGCTTAGCTGATTTTTCTGAATTCACTGGTTGGGTGGCACTGCAAGTGATTGCCATTCCAAACCACACTCGTGTCAAGGTGACAAAATACTAAATTCATCCAGAGAGACAGCAGCCTAAACTGGTCTCATTAGCTACAGCTTCCAGAGGTTTCTCCTTTGGTCTACTCCACAGTCTGTGTCACCCATCTTACAGTCTTACAAGTGTTTCATGTGCCTTTTATAGGATTTTATAAAAAGTATATGATTTTTTAAAAATACCAGAAAAATTATAAATCTGATCTCTGGACTAAATAAGATTATTTCCACAAAACAAACAAACAAAACTCCAGCACTTAGAAACAGACTCGTAAATAATTCTGCTTTACAGAAAGAGAAAAAATTTCCAAAATGTGTAGCAATGAGCTTGATGTCAGGCAAGTATGGATAGGTGTCAGGAAGGGAGCTGTTTGTAAGCACTTGGTAAGAGGAGTCATGACTGTTTGGCATCCATGTACTGATGAGTCTTGCCAATCTGATTGTATTCTTCTGTTTGCCAGCACTGTTTGTTTACTTGGCAGTTTGATGAAGGAGATCAAGTGGGCATGAAGTGGTGCATTTGGACTTCAGCAAAAGAGTTGACAAAATATTTTGCGATCCACTATTGGGAGAGATGGAGAGATATGGCCTAGGCAATAGAATGTCACCAAAAAGGAGCTCATTCAGAGTCCACATCAATAGGGAGAAAGAGTTTACTTGGTATCCTGCATACCTTAGTACTACTTTACACTGCATTTTAGTAATGTTTATAATAAAAATATAGAACATGTACTTACCAGATTCTCAGAGAGTGACACAAAATTGGAAAGGATAGCACTCAATGACAGAGTTGAGATTCAAGGAAATCCCAATAGACTAGAACAATGTAATCAAATGCTGAAGTCACATTGAAAAAAAATGGGAGGAATAATTAGGAGGGTTAATTCAGATATAATCCTAGGTGATCAATATATCTGTGGAATGAGTTAATGAATGAGTGAATGAGCAAATATTCAAAATTGTCTATGCCTTTCTAAAGTCCCCTGTCCCTTTGTAGTTCATTATTAGCAGATGACCCTGCTTCCTACCTCACCGAGCGAACTCCCAGAACTAAATTCTCTTTTCCCTTCTACGCTGTTGTAGAAAAAGATGTTCCTCCTCATTCATGACCACTTTTGTTTTTTTTCCCAGCATCTTGTTTCAACAGTACATTGAGTTGGTTCCTTTTCCATCTTAAAACAACAAAGCCACTGGGGCCAGTGAGTGGCATAGTGGCTTAGGTGCTGGACTCCCATGTGGCTGACCATGGTTCAAGTCTCAGACCCAGTGGCTTGAGACTCATGCTGAGTGCATGAGTGTGCATATCCAAAATCCCAAGAGGAGAATGGAGGAGAGGGGATTGTGGCGTGGCCAATTCCCCTGGGTGGTGATTTCTCACTTTCTGTCTCTCTGTCTCTCTCTGGTATGTGCACACGCCCTATGGTAAAACCTAACAAACAACAACAATAAAAAGTCACAACACTCCTGAGTTAATTTTGCTTTTTCTAGTTGCATTCTTTTTTATTCTTTTTCATAAGTACTACTGTTAGGGAAAATTGGTTTGTGAGGCTATTTTCAAGTCTACTAATAGAGTTTAAACATGAGCTAGATAGAAAAACATTTCTAGGTATGTGAAATCATGAACACTTTCTCTAAAGTAGTTATTTCATTGGCATATTAAAGGATGAAATAGAGGGAGAAGAGTCTTAGCACGAAAATGTGGGAATTCCAGTTGTGATGACTGTGGACATAGTGAAGAAAGATGAGCATCCAAGACAATTTAAAGGGATATAAAAACTAACTGAAATTGGTATATAGCATAAATACAGAATGAAAAGGAAAGACATGTCAAACTTACATGAAATAATTGTTATGAATTGTTCCTCAGAGAGCATTTTAAAGAGAAAGAAGAGAGAAAAAGAGGGAGGAGAGAGGGAAAGAAGAGAGCAGAGAGTGGGAGGGAAAGAACAGATTACAGGGGAGCCTTAAGAATGAACTCACAAGGGATGAACAAAGTTATCACCTAACAGAAGAAAGGACCAGGTTCAACAAACAACATATAGAGATTCTGAGCCTGTTTGTTGCAGGCACTGCTATAGGTGTACACGACTGTCATCAAGACATGAAACTGGTCTTCAAAGTCATTATAGTCTTGTGATTGGGAAGAACAGCATGAAAATAAAATAAACCTAACTTAGCTATATAGTCTAGCTATACTATGAAGGCCAGGCTCAATTACTGAGAAAGATGGAAGATAAGGGTAGAAGAAGATCCAGGTCTGAGGACCGACCGGCCTGACTGACTGGTACAGTAACCACTGAGAAAGTCAAAGACACACGAGAGCAGCACCAAGACCTCAGGTGGGAAGGTATCCAGCTTAACTGGTAGGCTAAGTATGAGAGAAAGGAAGAAGAGAGAATGAGAAAAGGTCTGAATGAGGGCAGAAAGCCCCAAGTAGTGGTGTGATGGAGTGCAAGCGATGGAAACTTCTCTCTCCAACTTTTCTCACCTCTTTTTGACAGACGTTGCAGATTTCTCTTGCCAAGTTCTTGACTCTCAGCTCTCCAGCATGAGGCCCACCACTGTCTTTCATTCTTTCTCTAAATCCTGACTTGTGTTTCGCCCAGTTATTCCCTTTCCTTATCTATATCAGAGCTAAAGAACAGAATTTAGGACTATATATAGAAGGAAAGAACTATCACAGAACAATGTCCAGGAACAATGTTTACACACATTTTATCATCTGTAATTATGTGTTTGTTTAATCTTAAGTTTCCTTGTTTATTTTCTCATTACCACCTAGCAGTAAAACACAAGTTGCTTGATCTTCACATGGAAGTGTGAACTGAATATGTCTTGCTTTTCCCAGCTGGGAACCACAAACCTTCTCCTTGTTTATGCAGAATGATAGTCTCAGCTTGTCTTTCGCCCAACCATCTTTCAAGTTAAAGTAATCATCTTGCACAATGGAACTATACACAGACACAGCTTTCTTACTTGCCAATAATACTTCCCTATTTTTGACATTAACTGGAGCTAAGCTGCATCTTTAGCAATGATTCACATATTATAAATGTCAGTGTCTGTCTTGTTTCCTGTATTTCTCTCTTCATTAATGCAACAAGACACATTTATTAAATGCACATTATATGCCTTCCATGTCTTGTGTTAGATAATGAGAACACAAAGATAAATAATAATAGTAATGTTGTACCTTGGTATCTGTGGGGTATTGGTTCCAGGACTCCCCCATAGACACAAAATTCACACTCAAGTCCCTTATATAAAATGGTGTAGTATTTGCTTTCTGATGTAATATTTACCTTTAATCCACCCACATTCTCTTGTGTACTTTGTCATCTCTAGATTATTTATAATATCTACCACAACATAAATGTTAGACAAAAAGTCATTATATCATTATACTGTATTTTGAAAATTTGTATTTTTTATTGTATTATTATTTTTTCAAATATTTTTGATCCATAGTTGTTTGAATCAGTGGATATAGAATACACAGATGCTGAGGAGTGTCTGTAATTATGTTATATAATATAGTAGTAAATAGTAATATTTACTGAGCACATTATGTGCTAGAGACTGTGTTAATATGAGGAGACTTCAAAACTTCATGGAAAAATGAAGTTAAAGTACATATTTATTTTGGTGCAAGTACATTTTATTTAAAACTCCATGCATATAATTTTCATAATTTGCATTTCTGTGATGTTTGGGAAAACACCATGATCTCATTCAGTCTGTCCATGCTTATCACTCTCATTTTATAGATGAGAAAATGCAGACTTTAGGAACTGAGCAGACTGACTGTTCATCTAGCACAGAGCTGATGATTGGCAGAGCTAGGATTTGAAGTCAGTCATCTGACTGCCGAGCTGTTTAAAAATGGAATGAATTCTCTATCCTTTTATAATTCATTGTTCAAAATATGCCTCATGTAGCAGTCCTATCAAATCCTATCTAGGGCTGGTTGCCTTTCAGACAATATGTGTAATGACAACACTGAGGGGCTGTCACCAAAGTCTGGCTACTGTAGATGCCAGTCTACCAGCCCATCCCTAATATATTAACTGCTAGGTGATATTCATTTAGGAAAAAGTCTCCAAAAGCAAATGTTTCTCCTTTATAAATGCATTTCTCACCTTTTTGTCAGCAGCAGATCATAGCCATAGCCTGAGCATGAGAGAAACAGGAGACAAGGACCCTCTCTGACTTTCTTTGTCCTTCATGATCTCGACATGTTTGAAGAATTGCATGCTCTTCAGTTTGCGTTTGTCTCAGGTTTTCATGTGATTAGATCTGAGTTATGCCTTTATTGTTGTTGTTGTTTTGCTATAGGACTCAAGTGCTAACCAGTGACAGAGAGAGACAGAGATAGAGAGAAAGAGAAATTGAGAAATTACCCCCCTGGGTGGATAGCTACCCAGCAATCCCTTCTTCTCTTCTTCTCTTGAGTTTTTGGGCATGCATGCATATGTGCCCCACACGATTTTCAAGCCACTGGGTTCAGGACTCGGCACTACAGAGTTGGCCAAGTAGAATCCAACTGATTTAACCTCCACACCATCAGCTGGCCTGAGTTATGCCATTTTAAGTCTCTCCTTCTCAGGACATTGTGTCAGGAAACACATGATATCAGTTTGCCTCATGAATGATAGTGTTAACCTTGTTCACTTCCTTAAACTACATTTCTCTAGTGCAAAATTACCATTTCCCTTTGAAATTAATAGTTAATTTGTGGGAAGATACTTGGAAACTATATAAATATTTTGTTCTTCACAGAGCTTTTAAGTTTGTTTAGTTGTTTCTTGAGAAAGATATTCCTCTTCCCAGGTTTCCAGCCAGTGAGAATCACAAGCATATCTGTGAGCGTGCTCGGCATGTTCAGGTTGACCTGGGATCCAAAACTGGGTCTTCCCTATGGCTTCAGTATCATACAGCAGTACCCTATGTCCTGTGCCACCATGTCTGGGCCATCATTAAATTTTTAATCAATGCTGATGATGCTTACTGGAATCAATTATAATATTATTGGATCATTGGGAAAGTCATGAATAGAAAAATCCATCATGACTTTCCTGACGACCTAATCTAATAATAGTTTCAAAATTTTTGTTTAAAACTCTACTATACTCTTTCTGTGTTTACTAGTGCCATTCTACTCTGAGAGTCCCTTGTTATCTATTTGTAAATATATTTATTTAGTACTAGTATGAGCTCACAGGTTCCTGCTAAGTATTTATTTTGGTGTTTAAACTGTCCTAGATTTGGCTGGTGAGAGTCTTTTCGAGCTGACTTTTCTTCCCTTTTGACGTGACCCCATCATTTTTTAAGCACTTCTTTTCTTTATGATGTAATTAGATATTCTGACTTTATTCATCTTTGTAGTTTTCCTGCCCTAGACCTGGAAGCAGACATTTCTCTAAGAATACCCCCTGGTTCTATTTAGGAATGGAATTTGAAACCAGGATGTGGGCAGTTGTCCAAAATCTTGATGACACAATGGAAAGCCCTTTTAACAAACGCAAACCTGCTACTCACATGGAAAACAGCCTCACTACTCCCCATGAAATTAAAAAAAAAAAAAAAAAAGAATGGGTATCAGAAGAGGTGGCTGGCTTCTTCTCATACATTTTGCTAATACTATACTTGTCAACCCCTGCCTTTAAATCCAGTTAACAGGGCAAATGGAGAGCATCCCAGGCACTTTCGTGCAGGGGAGGGAATCATTTTCCTGCTAATCCTAACACTAATTTGTAGAGAAATGCAGAGACCATCTTTGAGAAGAAGACTTGCCAACCCCTTTGCATTTATTTTTCAATGAAGACTCTTCTGAGTGTATTCTGTCCCAAGATTTTCAAAAGGAAGTTAAAATTATGCTACCTTTACCCTAATGGTGGTACAGTGGAACTCTGCCAGGACTGACTGACTGCCCCACCCCAAGGTTTCAGCTCTCAGTCCCCAGCTTTCTCACTCTAGCTCAGGCAGCTGAATGTGATGGTGCCCATGTGATGGTGCCCATGGAGAAGCCACTGTCTTCACCTCCTTTCCCTCAACTTCCTTTCCCTTTGCTGGCGCAGACTCCAGGACATTCTCTGTGCAGCTGGAGTTGTAACTTTCACAAAAAGGCAACCACAGACTGAAGGGAATGAGCCTCAGAGCAATATCCTCATTCCTCGAGGGAGCGATCTGCACATCTGCCTTTTATCCCTTCTGATATTAAGTTGATCTGTTCCCCAAGTGAGCAGGCGATGGAGTCTGCAGTTTATAATGACATTTTTGGCAGTGGAAGCTCTTCCATTTCTGGCATGGTCTTCCTGCATAGTTGAGGTTGGGCAAAGGATGCACATTATAAATTGCAGGTGCATAGATTTTTTTTTTTAGGGTTTTGCCATAGGGCACATACACATGCTGGAAAGGTAGAGAGAGACGGAGAGAAAGGGCAAGTGAGAAATCAACCTCCAGGGGGAATGGCCATGCCACAATCCTCTCATTCTCTTCCTGGAATTTTGGGCATACATGCATATGTGCCCAGCATTATTTTCAAGCCGCTGGGTCTAAGACTCAAACTGCAATCAACCTTGTGGGAGTCCAGCACCTTAATCACTGTGCTAATTGCTGGTCCTACAAGTGGGTAGATTTTTAATGAACACGAAAATGGTGAAGTGCATTCTTGGCACTTTCCGTTTTCATTTCCAAATCCACCATAAAACAAAAACAAAAACAAAAAACTTTATAACCCGATAGCTCAAAGGATGCAAGTATTGTATAAATTTGTTCCTTATCAGAACTCTGTCATCTCCTTTTTAAAAAAAAAACAAACCAACATCAGCTTATTTTATTTTAAGTGGGATAAATCATCCCTTTTATATATTATTTTACTTCTGATTAAAAAATAAAATAAATAAAACAACACAAGGAAAGCCCCCCAAATCCCATACTCCTGTCTGCCTTCAGGTTCAGTGCTCTGTCTTTTATAATCTCAATAGAAGGGAAATCTGTTGAGCATGTGTCTGATATTCTAGAGCTCATTTATGTCCACTGTGTGTTTGAAATACAGCAATATGTGGAAACACTTATACAAACTGTGGTAACAGAGCCCTTTTTTCCCCCCTCAACATAACTTTCCTTTCTGCCAAGAAGTTTTTGGCAGTTTTTAAAAGGTTCACTCTATTAAAAATGTTATAGACCAAATGGTTTTCCGATTGTCTTGACTGGGGGCACTGACTTAAGCCACAGAAGAAATGGCTACAGAAGCCAGACTGTCTCGTTTATTTACATAGAAAATTGTTGTTAGTAGTCAGACACTACTCTTGAGAGCAGTTTATGTGTGCAGTTCATAAAAAGGGAGTTAGGTACAAAAATAAAATGAGACAAAATTATTTATTTTAAACAAAGGCTGTTCAAAGTGAAGAGATGTGTTTCCAGTGCCCCTTGCATTCTAGAATGTCGTATTTTCCTGTTTATGTGATTGTTGATGACACTGGTGTGCCTCGGGGCATTGCAGAGGACTTTATTAAAAGCTTCGTAACCACCAGCTTTTCTTTTGTGGTCTATCTTTCTGACACGACATTCCTTTCATCTAGTTTTGTTTCCAAAATATGTGTATGCAAATATCCAGGGGACACACCAAGTATTGCTTTTAAAATAGACATTCACCAAATTTGATCCATACTTTTGTGTTTTCTTTCCTCCCTACTCTAGAACAAGAAACTCCTTTATGAGAAGATGAAGGGAGGACAGAGACGAAAGCGGAGGGTAATATGCAGTGGGCCGGGTGTTGATGGGATATTTGGTGCTTTCTAAGTGGGGCAGTTGACAAGCTAGACCCCTTGGTTGGAAAGTAGCAATACTCCTTTATAATGTAGTCCTAAGAGGGCAGGATGGTGGTTCTGTGAGACAAGGGCCATGCCCAGAAATTCCACCCTCAGTTTCTGCAATGGCTTCCCCAAGGTTTAGCTCGTGACTTTTAGTTCAATGTCCATTTTTGTGGTGATTCTTCCTCTTCCATTCATTCAGGAAACATGTACTGCATCCCTCCCACCTGTGTGGGAAAAAAAAGGGAGTACACAAAAGCATGGCTTTCTTTAAAAAGGCTATAGACCAGTGGGGGAAACTGCTCGCACATCTGCACCAATTATATCGAAACACAAGACAAGAACAAGGAAGTGCTGACCACCATGCTCCAGGCAATCATTTTGAGGAACTGTGGAGACAAAAATAAGATGAACAAACTTCATATCTCCAGCTTATCTTTCTTCTTGGCCTTGCTAGCTTGGTGTAAAATCCACCAGAATGATTGTATTTGTGGGTTTATTGTTGGATTCACTGTAGGTTTAGTTATCAACCATCTTAGAGCTGCCCAAGGTGGGACTGTGGTCTTGGTGCTCTGCATTGAGCTACTACAAAGAAGGCATTGCTTCATGTAAAGCTGAAAGTCAAATTTGCTTTGGGTTTCCTGTACATTTTATGGCCTTCAAACTTAACATACAATCAATGTCCACTCCACCAATTTACTGGTACCTTGCCAATCAGAGAGGCTACTACCTCCTCTTTTTCCAATCAGGGGGAGTGGGTGGGGTGAAAGTCCTATTACTACCCAGTAAAGTACTATGAGTTAGTAACCATTGTAGTTAAAATATACAAACCTACCCAAGGCTTCTATTTTTTCGGAATAGCAAGTGCCTGGATCCTGGCAAAACTGGGAATCTAGACAGCAGCAATTATAGACATTCTGAGTAATTTTGCCAAATCCAGTCAGAGAGTGCTATAAGAAGTGTGGATTTCTGCCCTCAGCATTAGTCCTTGGGCCCCCACAACAGAGAGTTCCAAGCCCCTGTGCTGCCCAACAAAACAAAAAAGACTCATGGCCAAGTTTCTATGCATGAAGCAGAAAGTGTTTATGTCTGATAATATCTTTGGGAGAGTTAACAGGGTTATTAGGGGTTTGTCTTGGTGATTACAGCTTCTAATGGCAGATGGTGACAGGAAGAGTCCAAAGCATATAATGTGGTCTTGAGAGAACATCAAGAAATTCTATTCTAGGAGTTCAGAATACACATAATTTACCAGTAAGATGGATTGAATATCTTTCCACAGCACAGCAAGGACACTTCCAAATAAGCCCAATGACTGACCCAAAATAAATAACATGGCATGAAGCTTTAATTGTCTCTACTTCCTGGCCTACCATTCCTTCTGCCCTGACTCAGTGAATGACTATGGATCACAATTTAGGTCATTTTTCCACGAGACCGGTGTTTACCAAAACTCAGAATTCTGGCTAAGACATATATTATAAAGGATTTTACTTTAGCCCCACTTCCTCCACATAGGAAAGGCTTAGAATTTATGAAAATAAGAGTCACTTTGACCCAGAGGTATCAAATTTTTCTGTTCTCAGTTATTTGCAAAGACCCATTCTCATGCCATAAACCATAGGCTTCTTTGCACTGATGGGGAAATTGAATTGCCTCCCCCATCATTAGGTCTCAGATGGTGTTCCCATCTTGATTGAGAATCAGTCCACCCCGTCCAGTACATGAATCAATATAAATAAATTATGGGCTTGCTTTTCTGAAAAATTAAGGCTCCTCCAATGAAACTCAGCATCTGTTATGGATTTCAAAAACAAGGTTCTTCCAGTTGTGAAACAGGAATAATGTTCTCTGTATAACCTAGTCCATATCTCACCCAAGTAATGAGATAATACACAGTGCCCTTAGTTCTTCCTACTACAATTAAAACCAAACTCATTATTATTACTTCTAAGTATAGAATTCAGTAGTTAAACACTATCAGAAAAGTTGTAGTGCTTTCTCCTATTTTTTCCTTATTAATTTTCTTCCCCTCCTTTCCAAGCTTTGGCATTTTCTGGGTCTGAGAAAAAAAGACTTCCTCTCATGAATGTCCCTTATCAAGAGAGATTCTTTCCAAAGTTGCAACAAGTCCCAGGTGGATTTTATGTGACTTTCTATATCTGCTTAAATCCAGTTGTACTCCTATTGCTTCACGAATGAAAGGTCTATTTGCCTTCAAATGACTTTGCAAACTTTTTAACTCTCAAGCTGTATCTTGTTAATATTTGATATTTATCTCATTTAAACTATCTCTTTTAAGCAGTTTATCAGCCTTTATCTATTTATCTCACTTAAACAGTTTATTAACCTTTTAATCCCATATTTGATAAACTTCTCCTATCTTCTTTTAATGTATTACAATTTTCAGAAATAATTTAGTAATAACATTTGTATAAATTTGTTCCTTATCAGAACTCTGTCATCTCCTTTTTTTTTTATTATTAAAACCCAGAATATTTATGTCAGATATACTGTTCAGTCCACACTTTTCCAGCCATCCAAAGATTCTGATATGATCTCCATGGGATAGGCCAGACCACTCTAGACAATCTCTGAGAGTATAGGAATTTTCATTATTTTAAATATTTCAAAGATGACTTCCTATCAAGGTGGTATCTTTTCATGGCATGCCACTTTTCAGATATATGAGGACATTGCTCACTTAGTAATCTTCACCTTGTTTGTGATGTATTTTGCAGAGTGTATTGGACTTTCCATGACCTGTGTTTTTAACCTATCAGAATGCAAAAGGATATTTACCAATACCAAACTCATGTTTCATTCCTTCTCTTTTGGAGAATGTCTGCTCCTCTTTCAAAGAGCAATGGTTGGCCATGCCCCATGATCAAGAGAGAACTCACTTGAGAACTGCCTCCTTTAGCCCAGAGATTCAGCATGCAACAGGATTGCTGCCCATTCTAACTACAGTTTCTTATATTTTTGTTCCATTCTTTGGGAAGCAATATCAAAAAACAAGTATCTCCCAAAATTTTTGAATTTTTTTTCCTGCTTGCTAAAGACTATCTTGTAAAGCTGCAATTACTAGTTCAAATCCAAACCTCAAAAAAACCGATATACATTAGAGAAATAATGGAAAAACCTTGAGTCATTCAGATTACCAACAGATGAAAGGGATTTCAGAGTATAGAGAGTCAAAAACAAAAGAGCCTTCAGGATAACTTCCTTATTTTCTTCAGCTTTTTACTCTGACTGAGGAAAGTTGGACACGTTGCTAGAGCCCCTGGTGTATTCTTTTCAGTAGAATCAGAGCATGGAGGAATCAATCATAGCAACAGGATGTCTGTGAGCAGTCTTCAGATGCTAATTTGACTTAGTTCTACTCTATCATCTCCTTTAGATTATTCTTCTTGTAAATCATTTAATGCATTTCAGATTTCCTCTCCCACCTACAAAGCGCCATAGAATAATTCTCTTTCATATGGGGCTTGGTATCTAAGTTAGTAGCAAGAATGTGTCAACTGGTTTACCTCAACTCTTTGCACCAAAAATAACAATCTTGAAAGACCACATTGCATCTGATTAAAAAAAACTCCATAGTTGTGCAAAAAAACATCTACCGGTCAGATAATGTCTCATAGGCTACTGAGGCATTGATTAGTGCATTGAAATAATCATTTGATGGGGGTAGGTATCACTGTCCCCTGCTAGCCCAATAGAAAAAAAAAACAAGTCTCGAGCCCACGTTTGGTGAGATGTCTGTATCACATGTAATGCCAAACCATATATACATGTTTTTCAGAGTGTCAATCCATATCTTCAAGGACAGAGACTGGATAATGTTGTCGCAAAGAAGTCTGTCCCCCATTTTTCAGAAGAAGATAAGGATCCAGAGTAAAGAGGAGACTTTGAATGGAAACCCAAGCTGCCTGTTAGGCCTCAGTTATGCTTACGTGCACGTGTTCTTAGAGCCCCTGTGAATGGTAGCATGTTTCTTATGTAGCTAATTATGGATGAAAAGCGGCTGTATTTTGATATCGCATTGTCCTTCACACTGATGGCTCTGCTTTCTGCTAAATTAGAATAAAACCTTATTTATTTGGGGGTTCTTTTTAATGTGGATCTGCAATAAGCATTAAAATTAAAATGTACATGTCAACAACAATTAAAAAAAATGACACTATGAAATGTTCAGATTTCTTGCAGTTTAAAATGGCATTTGGAGCTATCCTTTTGGGCCATGTCTGTAAAAAGCTGGCATTTGATTTTGATTATGCAGTTCACCTAACCCTGGGGCATTGTTACACACCAATAAAGAAGGTTGTACTGAAGAGGAAGGATTGACACATTTCACTTGGCTGCATCTTAATAAATGTGTATGCAAGCATTGGTGTGTGAAATCTTTTATTTAGAGCATTATAAGAATAATTTCTTTGTTTACTATTAATAGAACCTATCTATACATGATCTTATCTGAACCTAGCAATCAAAGTGTGAAGTACTATTAAACATGTTAAAGCAAAGGTATTAATAAATGAGCAGTATTATTCCCCTTTTACAGATGGTAGAACTGAGATGTTCAAGATACCACTGGGAACAATCAACAAAATCCAAAATGAGGAGACTCTAAAGGACAAGTAACCCTCGCTTTTTCCAACAAATAAATGGCAGCAGTGACAATTAGGAATTAATAGATTTTAAGAGACATAAGATAAATGAACCAAATGCCGTATGTGTGGGTCTCATTTTTGTCCTGACTCAAGCAAATCAAAATTTAAAAATATTGATCAGATAACTGAGGAGGTTTGAGTAGTGGTTGAGTATTTGGTGCTGTTTAAGTGCGACATGGTAAGCCTATATTTTTTAAAAATAGCTCTTGTTTCTTGGAGGTAAATACTGAATTAAAGATGAAATGATTTCATTTTGGGATTTCTTTTTAAAAAATAATTATTTTATTTAAATTTATTAATTATTATGTTTTTAATTTGACCAGAGATAGAGAGAGAGAAAGGGAGAAAGCAAGCTTCCAGGTCCAGGACTCAAACCACAGTTGGCCATGTAGGAGTCCAGTGCCTTGAGTATCATACCACCTGCTGGCCCCAATATCTTGAATTTCTTTAAAATAATCCCGTGGTAATGATGGGGGCAGAAAAGTAGGAAGGGATTGGGATATAGATAAATCAAGACTGACCATAAAATGATAGCTATTGAATTTGGGTCATGAGTGCATAGAGTTCATTGTATATTTAAAATTTACCATAATAGAATTACAATTAAAGGTTCAAAAGTAAAAGTAGATTATGGCAAACATTGGTCTGGCGATAGCAATGTAGGATGCATTATAAAACTATTGGATAAAGCTGTGGAAAATTAATGAAGCAAAATGGAAAATGAATGAAGAGAATTTTCTGAGAGGGTTTTCAAAGGAAGAGGCAGAGGAGTCTGCAAAAGGGAAAATTGGGTTAGGCGAGGTGATGAACTAGTTGGTGAAGGATCAGAGTGACTGGGAAGAGAAGATATTTTTATGGAAAGAAGAATTTATTAATTATTATGTTTTTAATTTGACCAGAGATAGAGAGAGAGAAAGGGAGAAAGCAAGCTTCCAGGTCCAGGACTCAAACCACAGTTGGCCATGTAGGAGTCCAGTGCCTTGAGTATCATACCACCTGCTGGCCCCAATATCTTGAATTTCTTTAAAATAATCCCGTGGTAATGATGGGGGCAGAAAAGTAGGAAGGGATTGGGATATAGATAAATCAAGACTGACCATAAAATGATAGCTATTGAATTTGGGTCATGAGTGCATAGAGTTCATTGTATATTTAAAATTTACCATAATAGAATTACAATTAAAGGTTCAAAAGTAAAAGTAGATTATGGCAAACATTGGTCTGGCGATAGCATTGTAGGATGCATTATAAAACTATTGGATAAAGCTGTGGAAAATTAATGAAGCAAAATGGAAAATGAATGAAGAGAATTTTCTGAGAGGGTTTTCAAAGGAAGAGGCAGAGGAGTCTGCAAAAGGGAAAATTGGGTTAGGCGAGGTGATGAACTAGTTGGTGAAGGATCAGAGTGACTGGGAAGAGAAGATATTTTTATGGAAAGAAGAAAGAAACTTAATAGGAGTTATAGAAAAAGACCTCCACCAGACTGATAGATTTAAATAAGCCACGTCTTTCTAAATGAAGTCTGGAGTCTGGACCACATCAACAGCAGGAACACTGAGTTTTCTGGGGACTGGAAAGGATCGTCAATTCCTTTCTTCATACAATGCACTAGCCAATAACCTTTGAAACTAGAATGGTGGTTGTAGATATCCTAGGGTCATGTGGAGAACAAAGATGAGCATGCTGGGTACAGTAGATAGTATATAAGGCATGTGGTGTTAGTACCACCACCATTAACCCCAATGGAAATCCTACTGTGGTATGGCCAACTTGAACCCATGTCCTCTCACCCCCAACAGCAGCCACACAGCAAAAGGATATGCATAGCACTAGCCCAGGAGGATTTTATGATGGGCCATTCTAGGAGAGAACTTACTCTTTTCTTGCTCCTGGGAGAGAGAGAAAGAAAAAAGTGAATTGTTGAGTGTTTCGACAGCAAGTATCCACAGCTCTTCTCCTCTCCCACTGTCTATAAAGTGAGCCACGTGACAGGTTATCAGGCTGAGTTTTCTAGGAATGGCTCTCCAAAATGGATTTGCTGGGACCAGCAGTTGGCATAGTAGTTAAGGTGCTGGACTCCTACATGGTCTACTGTGGAGACCTGAAGGCTTAATACTCATGCCAAGCACGTGTGTATGTGTGTCCAGAATCCCAAGAGAACAATAGAGGAGAATGGATTTCAGCGTGGCCATCACCCTTGGGGAGTGATTTCTTACTTTCTCTTTCTGTGTGTGTCTCTGGTGAGCACACATGCCCTATAGCAAAAAAACTCTCTAATTAAAAAAAAAAAATTGCCTTCAACAATGTAGAATGTTCCACACACCTGAGATTCCAGAAAGGATGGATCCTGAGCTTGCCATGTTTTTGCCAGGAAGTGGGGTTGGGGGGAATCTGTCTGGGTTGAGCAGCTTCCTGGGGGAGATAAGATCTTAGAAAGCTGGAGACCTCCACTTGATCCACAGTCCCACCCTCATTGCCACACAACAAAAAAACTGCATGACCATTCCAAGCCTCCCAAGCCTTTGGAATGGAATTCCCTTCCTCCCAAGCCTGCAGCAAGGACCTTTCTTATCTGTTCAGGCACAAAGGGCAGCGGAAACATCCTTTCCCCTCTGCCTTCCTTTAAAACTTTTCAGAGACCCTGGTTTTACTGAGGGATGTCACAGATATCAGCCACAGCCACAGCCACAGGTGTAGGGCCTGGAAACAGAAGTCTCCGGGTATTCTGTCACAGAACAGATGGTGATCATGAAGATGCCACCATCTTCGCAAGAGAGATGGGGAGCCAGGAAAATGGAAACACTTATTTAAATAGCACATATGTACAATTGGCATAGTAGTTAAGGTGCTGGACTCCTACATGGTCTACTGTGGAGACCTGAAGGCTTAATACTCATGCCAAGCACGTGTGTATGTGTGTCCAGAATCCCAAGAGAACAATAGAGGAGAATGGATTTCAGCGTGGCCATCACCCTTGGGGAGTGATTTCTTACTTTCTCTTTCTGTGTGTGTCTCTGGTGAGCACACATGCCCTATAGCAAAAAAACTCTCTAATTAAAAAAAAAAAATTGCCTTCAACAATGTAGAATGTTCCACACACCTGAGATTCCAGAAAGGATGGATCCTGAGCTTGCCATGTTTTTGCCAGGAAGTGGGGTTGGGGGGAATCTGTCTGGGTTGAGCAGCTTCCTGGGGGAGATAAGATCTTAGAAAGCTGGAGACCTCCACTTGATCCACAGTCCCACCCTCATTGCCACACAACAAAAAAACTGCATGACCATTCCAAGCCTCCCAAGCCTTTGGAATGGAATTCCCTTCCTCCCAAGCCTGCAGCAAGGACCTTTCTTATCTGTTCAGGCACAAAGGGCAGCGGAAACATCCTTTCCCCTCTGCCTTCCTTTAAAACTTTTCAGAGACCCTGGTTTTACTGAGGGATGTCACAGATATCAGCCACAGCCACAGCCACAGGTGTAGGGCCTGGAAACAGAAGTCTCCGGGTATTCTGTCACAGAACAGATGGTGATCATGAAGATGCCACCATCTTCGCAAGAGAGATGGGGAGCCAGGAAAATGGAAACACTTATTTAAATAGCACATATGTACAAAACTATATATATATATATATATATATATATATATATATATATATATAGAGAGAGAGAGAGAGAGAGAGAGAGAGAGAGAGAGAGAGACAATGGTGCATGTGGGTGTCCAGTCTGGATAACATAGAGAGGAGAGAAAAGAGATGAGCCTGATGAGGGAGTCAGAGGCCATGCCATGAAGAATTTTACTGGCCATGCCTGAGTGTAGCTTTTCTTTTTTTCTCTTTTTTTAAACAGATATTTTTGCTATAGAGTGCACGTGTTTGCCAGAGAGACAGAAAGCAAGAAATCATCCCCTAGAGAGGATGGACATGCCAAAATCCCTTCTCCATTCTCCTCTCAGGATTCTGGGCACACATGCACACACACCTGGCGTGAGTTTTAAGTTGCTGAGTCCAGGACTCAAGCCACAGTAGAAAACGATGTAACCATTATGCCATCTGCTGGTACCCCAAGTGTAGCTTTTATCCTAAAGGAGATGGAGGTCCTTTGAGGATTTCATAAGCAGAGGGGCATTATCACATTTATATTTTACAAGGATCACTGATGACAGAGTACAGACCAAGTCAAAGACTGTTCAAATTTATTTTCTAGATGAGATATAATAAATAAAGTGAAGGGACCAGCAGTTGGTGTAATGGCTATGTTGCTGGACTCCCATGTAGTCGACTGCAGTTTGCGTCCCAGACTTGGTGGCTTAAACTCATGCTGGGCACGTGTGTGTGCATGCCCAAGATCCCAGAAGGAGAATGAAGAGAAGGGATTGTGGCGTGGACATCCCCCCTGGGGGTGATTTCTCACTTTCTATCTTTCTGAGGAGCACATGTGCCCTATAGTAAAAAAAAAAAAAAAAAAGAAGAAGAAAAAACAAACAAACAAAAAGAACAACAAAGACAAAAACAAAACAACAACAACAAACTCTAAAAAGAAAGAAGAAAGAGCCCAAGGAAACTTGAAATAATGAAGTTCAGGACACATCAATTCCAGGCCTTGAAGCAGGGAGTCTATTTGTAAGGCTTGGCTGATTCTATGCTGGGTCTATGTACTCTATCTCAGTAGTGCAGAGTATTTAAGGTTAACTCCAGGACAATATGGACTCAAACAAATTGAGT